CCTCCCACTCTCTAAAAATCAATGGAAAAAATACATTCCGTGTGTGTGTGTGTGTGTGTGTGTGTGTGTGTGTGTGTGAGACCACACACGTTCTAAGGCATCTTTCCCGGGTCAAGTTCCCCACCTAAAACTCTGACCCAGGGACCCTCACGAAGGCCTTAGGTTCTCCCTAAGGTTTGGCTCCCGGTAGGTTTGGGGGCAGCCCACAGTAGGGCTGTCTTAGCCAATTCAGTGTGAGGACAATCCGCATCTCACATCCCCACGGGGAACCACGCCAGGGGTGACATGGTGCTGTCTGCACACCCGGGTCTGCACACCTGTGTCTGTCTGTACACCTATGTGTGCACACCCATGTCTGCACACCTGTGTCTGTCTGCACACCCATGCTTACACCCTAGTGCCTGCCTATGAAGGAGGCCCCAGAAGAAGCCGGGTGCAGAAGCAGGGTGCACTTTGACTCCGAAGCTGAAGGGGGCGCTAGTGAGACCCCCACCGCTGTGGGGCAGCCCCTGCTCTGAATGCTCTGCTGCTGCCTGTCCAGACACAGCAGAGGAGGGGTGAAGAGGGGGGAGGGGAGGAAGGGTGAAGAGAGGGGAGGGGAGGAGGGGTGAAGAGGGGAGGGGCAGAGGGGGGTCAGCGTGGACTCCCAGGCAGGGCCTCACCTTCCAGGACGGAACCGATGTTCCCTATGTGCTCGTCACTGAGGGCGGCGAGTTTCTCCATCACGCGGATTTGCCCGGAAAGCTTCTCCAGGAGATTTCTCGCCACGAAGGGGGTTTTGCTGGAGAAGACAATTTGCTGAGGAGGAAACAAGAGCATTGTCTCAGGCGTGGGGCCCAGCGCCCCTCTGGACCGCGCGTCCTGCGCCCGCTGGGGCTCTCCCAGGGGTGCGGTGAGGCCACTGGAAATCAGTGAGCCCTCTCCACGGGGAGGGCGCATTCAGTGCTGAAACCAGACAGGCTCCCGTGGCTTCTCGCTGCCCCCGCCCACACACATTCTGGAACTCTCCCAGGGGTGCGGTGAGGCCACTGGAAATCAGTGAGCCCTCTCCACGGGGAGGGCGCATTCAGTGCTGAAACGCCCCCCGCTCACGTGGCTTCTCGCTGCCCCCGCCCACACATTCTGGAACTCTCCCAGGGGAGCGGTGAGGCCACTGGAAATCAGTGAGCCCTCTCCACGGGGAGGGCGCATTCAGTGCTGAAACCAGACAGGCTCCCGTGGCTTCTCGCTGCCCCCGCCCACACACATTCTGGAACTCTCCCAGGGGAGCGGTGAGGCCACTGGAAATCAGTGAGCCCTCTCCACGGGGAGGGCGCATTCAGGCTGCACGGGGGTGTGTACGCCCCAAAAGATGCATTTTATAAGTGTGGTGGTTTTTCTCAGCCTGGATCGATTTCCTTGTTTTCAAGCTGAAATTAGCAGCATGGTGTCTAATAGTCATAATTATAACCAAGCTATCTCGCCCGGCCGGCGTGGCTCCGTGGCTGAGCGTCGGCCTATGAACCGGGAGGTCAGGGTTTGATCCCCCGTCAGGGCACAGGCCCGGGTTGTGGGCTCCATCCCCAGTGTGGGGACTGTCTCTCATTGGTGATGTTTCTCTCTCTCTCTCTCCCTCTCCCTTCCTCTCTGAAATCAATAAAAATATATATATTTTTAAAAAAGAAGCAGCAGCGCTCGCTCTCTGGTCCACGAACCGCCTGGGCCTGACCGCGCCGTCCGGCCGTACCTGCACGAGCTGGGTGCACTGCTGGAGGTGCCTGACGATGGCAATGTCCAGGCTCTCGCTCCCCGTGGTCAGCGGGAGGGGGCTGCCGGCCACGCTGGTGCCCACGCCCGTGTCTTCCGTCAGCGCCTCGCTGAGGTGCGCCCTGGCCTCCGGGTGAACTGACCTGTAGCTGTTGAAGCAGGAAGGTGAGCGACAGGGGAGCCATTTCTTTCCGTGTGGAAACCACAGGTCAACTCCCCTCAGGTCCCCGAGGGCTCCTACCCACGGCCCGGAAAACGCAAGCTGCCTTTCTTCTTCTTCTTTTTCTAATCCTCACCCGGGGATATTTTTCCATTGAATTTTTAGGGAGAGTGGAAGAAAGAGGGAAAGACAGAGAGAAACACTGATGTGAGAGAAACACATCGATTGGTTGCCTCCTGCACGGCCCCAACCAGGGCACGGGAGGAGCCTGCAACCGAGGGACGTGCCCTTGACCAGAATCGAACCCGGGACCCTTGGGTTCGCAGGTCGATGCTCTACCCACTGAGAAAACCGGCCAGGGCTCGAGCTACCTTGCAAACACATCTCAAGTCAGCCTGTCGCCAATGTGCCTGATGTAAAAGGCCAGGCAGAAAAACTGCTTCCCGGCTCTCGGCACAAAGAACCGCTCGCCAGCAGCCTCACCGAGTCTCAGAAACCTGCCCAGGCGACACTCGCGATGGGGGACCCGCCCAGGGTCCTGGATTAAACCGTGTTTGTATTTGCCATTTCCCTGCTCAGAACGAACCTGCGGAGCCAGTTTCCTGACCTCGTCAGTCCCTTCCTGAAGCAAAGGAGGCAGCAACTCTGCCAACAAGAGACCGGACCTCCACTCGGGACAGAAGCTAAGGGGCCTTGGTCCCGAGGGAGGTCCAGCCTCCTTCTGCCTCCCAGGCTTTGTTTATGCCCCACGGCCCGGCCGGGGTGGCTCAGCGGTTGAGTGTCCACCTATGAGCCAGGAGGTCAGGGTTCGATTCCCGGTCAGGGCACAGGCCCAGGTTGCATGCTCGATCCCCAGTGTGGGGCGTGCAGGAGGCAGCCGATCCATGATTCTCTCTCATCATTGGTGTTTCCATCTCTTCCCTTCCTCTCTAAGAATCAATAAAAACATATTTAAACACAAAACAAAAAGCCCAAGGCAGAGCTGCCCAGTGACATGGTGATGGGCACTCACATGGAAAAATAAGTCTGTCGCGTCTATTTTATTCCAGAAAGAACCTGGGTGCTGAGGGGGCACAAGGACTGGCAGAGATGACAACCAGCGTCCCAGGTTCGCACACCTGGGCAGCGACAGCCCAGCTCCCGGCTTCCCGTCTCAGGCTCTCCATCCCCGTGGTGTAAAAAGATGGGGCACCAGAGCTCACAGGTGTTGGGGTGCTGCTCTGGGCACTTTGCCTCAAAGGACAAAACACTCGGTTGGGCCCTGGGTGCCCGTGTGTCCTGTGGCCCTGGGTGCCCGGCTGACACCTGGCTGTGATGCTGCACTGAGGAGCTTACTCCCGAGAGACCCCCGGGGCTGCAGGGGGCGGAGGAGGGAGGGACGAAGGGGCCGCCAGGCACAGCGCAGGGAGGTGGGAGAGTCACACGCCGCGAGGCTCACCCGTTCCTCTCAGTCTCCGTGTCTGAAAACACCGAGTCGGCACCTCCCACAGGGCCGCCCTCGTCCACGTCCTCCTCCTCGTCGAAGTCGGAGGTGTTCAGGAAGTCGAAGCTCTCCAGGGCGCTCTCCACCGTCAGGCTCAGGCTGGAGGGCGTGCTGCGGCTTCCGGGCGGCTTACACTGCAAGGCAGGGGCACCGGCACATCAGCGTCCCCCACGACCCCGGCAGGGGGGACACAGCCAGCGTCCCCGAGGGGATGGGACCCAGCACCCGCTCTGACCAATAGGAACAGGTGACACTGTCTTTGTTTCAAGCTTTTGTTTTATTGTATTTTATTGGCATTAAAAACAAACGCATTTAACATATTCATATTAAAAAAAGAGCAACCATGAATCAAGTGGCACAATCTCTGGGACTTTTTCCAAACTAATGCAGAGGGAAGCAAGCAGCTCGAAGACGAGACGAGGACATTGGCCGGGAG